ACGTTCCCTGCTCATATGTCTTCCCTATTTATATATAGACCAAGGAATGGGATAGAGGTTATAATGTTTTGGAACAAAAGATGTGCAGCTGAACATGCAGAAAAACCTATCCTTACTTATATTGCTTCTCAACATTCTAATTCTGATACCAAAATTAAACTAAATTAGACCATTTGGGCATACAGTCAAGTACTGTCTACTCTGTGTGGCAGAGACTCTCCCAGAAAAGGGTTGTTCTTCTTCCCAAATACCTACAGCTTGTTCTGGTAAAACTGGAGTTGCTAGGATCTGAACCTGCAAAATGTGTCTAAGTGCAAAATATATTCTCTTTCACTGAATGGTAGACTTTCTTGATCCAATATGGGGCAAATAAAGACTGTGTGCAGATGAGAGATTGTTCTTACCCACAGGAACATTTTTGTTGCTACAATTGGTCACTTTGTGTCTGCTTTTATTTGTGAATAAATATGGATGCTCCTATTTACTTTGGCCTTGATTATCTATTCATCAAATAGATAAAGTAAATACAATTCCAGAGTACAATAGACTTATCTTTTTATTTGAAAGGCAGACATATAACCACTCATTATAATTTTATATTTCCTTTAAAAAATAAGATAAAGACATTCATTCAATTTTGAGGCTCCATTTTGCTATCTTTGAAATTAGACTCATTTACTAATTACTGTCCTATTGTTAACTTGAGTTTGAGTGTCCCTAAGCAATTATTTTTGGAGTGTTAGGGCAATTATTTTCCCTTTTTAAATGAGCTCTAGCTAGTAGAGAAATATTTCTTCTCATGTCCAGAGGGTTGGGCCATAAGGACTTTATGCATATTTTACATAAAATTTACATTAAAGTCAGTTGAGGGTGAATACAAAATGTGATATTCACAAATGTTCACAAGTGTTACTGAAACATGTTTCCCTTCAGCAAAGACTGTCTTTTTAAATGATTATTGTCATTATTACACTAGGAAAGCTTTCCCCAACCGGGACTGTAACTTCTAATGTTCTTCAGCGATCACAGGATGTCCACAGGATGGCTAGGCATGAGACTTCAGTTCAGGCACATATGAAGAGTGCTAGGGTTGTGAGAAGGAGACATTAAAGCTACAGATAACTGAAAAACGTCTTCACCAGCAGGATTCTTTATGATTAAAGATCTCTAAGATATACCCTTGTTATCTGGAAGGTGCACTATGATGAAAAGGAAATCCATTTGGCCATTGTATCCTGAAGCTGTAAAATAGTCTGTGAAATTAAACCTGGTTACGCCAATCTATAATCTAGTCTACATATTACACAGGGAACAAGATCAGTTAACTCAGGTTTAATATACAACAGGCCTGTTCAATGCATCAGATTTAGTTTGGTAAAAGTGATTCAGAGCACAAAGGACACAAACATAATACCTGTCCACAATTCCTTAAAGCACCTGGAAGTTTCCCTGGGGTTGTGCCACAGATGTGGTGGTGCTGTGTGTTTAAAAATTGCCTAAAACTCAAGGAAAATAAAATATGTATTTTTTAGGATGAAAGTGTGAGATTTACTATTTACTGTGAGATTTCATTAACACAGAATTCTTTTCTTAATCGGGATGCAATTAGAAAAATGGAAACTACCAAACATAAACAAACTACTGAACTTCGTCTTTGATCTATTATACTTTTAAGATAATAGTGTGGGGGGGGGGGAGATGGGTCACTTATTAAGACATTTGTTTTATATTTAAGTAAATATGTAAATAAATAGATACTTACTGGAGCAGCTCTCCAAAGCTG